CAGCTCCCGGACACCCAGCTTTAGCCCTCTTCGTGGCCATCGAGGCCAACTCACGGTTTTGGATCGGCACAATTGGGAGCCGCTGTCGGTCCCATTTCCTTTGTCATTCGCGGCCAGTCTTTCGAATGTAAATTCTCTGGCGAGCTGGGGCTGGACCCGACCCGCAGATCGATATGTAAACTGAATATTCCCGCCAAGCACGCGGGCATCTTCAAAGGCCAGTCCTGTTCTGACGATTTCGAGCTTCGCTATGAGCATACTACAATTGCAACAATTCCTAGGGTCGGTCCTCCCAGATCGTGGGAGACACAGCACCTCAGCTGGCTCTAGACAAGCACTGAGCTTCACGATTCTTATCTCATGTGCTCAGAGTCGCACAGGACTACCAAGATCCATATGATGTAGGGTGCCGTTATCCGACAATCGATCGCTACAGCTTCGGGCATGCAATGTTCTAGAACTAGAATCAAGACTACTGGATGCTTGATTTCTGTGACTTAGATTGGCGTCTCGGGGGTGGCCAACTTAACGCGATCATTGCCCCCGAACGAACCGCATGGAGGTTCAGAAGCTCTCTGGTGCCCCAGAACGCTGCCCGCATCCCGTTGCTATTAATACAGCTTCAGTTAATACCGGAGCTATGTGAATTCAGGAGTAATGAAAGGTGAAGCTACCCCTGCGTTAGCTGGGGACTAACGACTTAGTCGCTATGTACAGGTCCCCTGGAATAAAGACCAGGAGGCCTGTTCACCGTCCATGCACCCGCGATCTCTTCGGGGCATAGCAGCTCACGAACCCCGAACTCAGCTTGGGATCAGGCTTTTGAGCACATAAGCTTTTATTTCGGTTCGGGAGCGACCTCAAGCGTCAACTTCAAGCTGTCTGTGCATCGCATCTTTCTGACCAGTGTCCCTGCGTAGAGGCTGTGTCAATCGGACCTCGGACTGCACCGTGATCATTTGAGGGTCCAACATAGCGTATGTGTGTAAGCTTCCCTCCGAGGGTATTTGTGGCCTATAGTCGTGGTGTGAGTTGAATAGATAAAAGAAGGGTATTATCCGCCATGAGTGTTAAGGACTTGACTCTTCCCAACCAAATCCAAACACTTGGCCTTGCATTCTCTTTCCCCAAGCCCGGTTCCCTCGTTTAGCATATACTCTTTTGATGTCCACATTCTTTTCACATGACTTAGACCAATAAAAGTGAAATGATTTCCAAGGCATTCACCATTGCTCTACTGGCAGCAGTCCTAGCTGGGTCTGCCGAGGCCGGCCATCTCCGCCACAATAGACACAGTCACAACAAACGTGCCGACATCTGCGGCACCAAAGGCTACGATCGTGGGCAAGGAAACTATTTGTACGACGACGGCGGAAAACTCAACTCATACGCGGCATGCTCAGCCGCCTGTCTTGCTGACGTCAAGTGCCTGAGCTTCGCATACAGCAGCAAGGAGTGCATGCTCTTCAATATTCCCCTAGAGAAAAACTTCGACGCGGATAAAGGCAGCTCGGACGTGTATTACGACCGCGGCTGTCTTTCTTCTGCGGGGAGCATCCCCTCTTCGACCACCAAGTCCTCGACTACTACCGCTGCCACACCCAGCAGCACGTCAAAGTCCTCATCTTCCTCCAAGTCCAGCCCAACTGCCGGGGCGACAACCTCCTCTTCCGCCGGTGGTGCTGCTTCGACACCAGGTACCACCAGCACCGCCTCTGCCGCCCCGGACTTTCCAACAGCCAACCCCTACGAATCCAAGGGCTGTCCTATGCCCAAAGCCCTCGCCATCTTCGACCTCAAGTCCACTGTCGACTCGAGCGGCAGCAACACCGCCTTTGGTCAAGATCCAGTACGGCAACGGGACCTTCAGCTGCCCGGGCCGCTGCGGGAGCTACAACGGCCAGTTCGACTGCAACTGCGACTCGGACGGCCTGCTGCGCGTCATCTCGGACGGCCGGAACTGGATATGGGTCCAGGAGTGGTACTGGTGCGACGCGCAGGAGCAGAGGCCCGCCAAGGCGTACCAGTCCCTCGCCCTCACCCTCAACTTCACGGGGCTGGCCGACTATGTCAGCTGCGACAAGGCCACCAACACCTGCACCCAGCCCAAGCCCCTGCTTGCCCCTGTGGGTGGCTATGGCGGCGGCGGCACCATTGGCTTCTCCCCTATTGATGTCAACGGCAACGATCTGCCCAATTGCCCGTATAGGCCCGGTCACTCGCCTATCGTGACAAACACGGCTACTTGCACAAGCGCGGCAGCAGCGGCAACCTCCAGGTGATTTTGACTATTTTGCAGCGGGCTTTGCTAGGATGAGAGCGGGGTTGATGTATACCATAATAGAGACAAATTGTAGAGCGTGAAATTGATATACCAGTACAAAAGTTTAGCATAGATCTAAAATTAATATTAATTTTGAAACACTCAATTGGATCAGAATGTATCAACTCTTTGAAGAAGCAGTTGCTGGATTGTGCGTGCGTCCGAGACCTTCCGACGAAGGCAAGGAATTGGTAGCATCACAAATTCACCGGGAGGAACAAGTCAGTAGCTCTGAATCCTTCGCGCAAATCCTACAAATGTATATGCACAAGCCGGTGGCTAAGAGCTGATGAGGAGTTGATCAGTTCAAAATTGTTGGCGGCCACTCTATAGGAGCCCAATCAACAACAGATAATCCCCAGGTTCACGGAGTTGCAGTCCGTCCATTGTGGTTCGGGTGGGCTTTGAGCTGAGCTGTCAGTCAATCTGTGGGTCTGCCTCGGGATGGCCAGGGGAAAGGAAGCCCTGCATTCCTCAATGCGGGGAAGTAACTCAAGGATAGCTCGCGTAGAGACGAAATTGCCGAAGAGCAGCCTGCTGGTATGAAATCAGGGTATGATCCGCCAGCGCGGTAAGCTTACGGCGGTTGAAACTGCCTCGGAAGCACTAGTCAACAGACCAAGTCGGCTATTTGAGGGGAAGTACTTCTGTCGCTCGTCTTATGATTTGATTGAGAACACAATTTCGTACATTTTTCTAAAATAAATTACAATATGTCGTCCATTGCACAATTTCAGACTCAGGCGATTGTCTGCCGCCCGCCCCAAGATGGCGAGAGGAAGTGGGTTCTCGAGAAGGTGTCCCTGTCGTCTCCCGCAGACGACGAGGTTGTAGTCGAGATTGTAGCCACCGGGATCTGCCACACTGACTTCGTCTGCGGGAGCGTACCGGATGAAGCACTGCCACTCGGCTTGCCCCCGTACCCGCGGGTTCTTGGCCACGAAGGTCACAGTCCTCTCAGTATCCTTTCTCTTGAAAGTCGTGCGCGATCTTTAGGCTGACCACTTGTCGAGCAGGTTCTGGCTTCGTCAAGTCCACCGGGTCCAAGGTCACCAAGGTCCAAGAGGGGGACAGGGTCCTCCTGTCATTCTCATTCTGCAAGGAATGCCGCAATTGCCAGTTCGGCGCCCCTGGGTTCTGCCAGAATTGGGGGCAGATCAACTTCAGCGGCACCAGGGGCGCGTTTTCCAGTTTGGAGACACCCGGGGAAGAAATCGGCGGCTCCTTCTTTGGACAGTCGAGCTTCTCGCGGCTGACCAGAGTTAAAGAGTGCTCCGTGGTCAAGGTCACCGATCTGCTCAAAGACGACGACCAGTTGAAGGTCTTGGCGCCGTTTGGCTGCGGTATCCAGACCGGAGCCGGGACGATCACCGAGCTCGCCAATGCTCAGCCGGCAGACATGGTTGCAATCCTGGGCCTTGGAGCGGTGGGCTTAGCAGCCATTATGGTATGTCCACTTCACTGTTCCCCCCACCCCTACCCCCGTCAACTACACGAATTGCTGAGTCCGTGATAGGGTGCTAAGATCAGAGGCTGCAAAACCATCATCGGTGTTGACCGGGTCGCATCGCGTCTTGAGCTGGCAAAGAGCCTCGGGGCAACTCATGTGATTGACACAGGAAGTATAAAGGGCACCCTAGCGGAGGAGGTCAGAAGAATTACCGGGGGAGTTGGGACGACCATCACGGTGGATGCCTCAGGGGCAGTCCCCTTGATCCAGCAGGGCGTTGAGTTCACGGCCAACCAGGGAAAGGCGGTCCTCCTCGGTGTGCCGCCGATGGACGCAGCTTTGCAGGTCCATCTAGTTCCTTACATAATGGTACGCACAATCGTCTGTTGGGGGCCAAAGTAATCACTGACACATACAGTCGGGCAAGTCAGTTCAAGGATCAATGGAGGGTGGTGTGTTTCCTGAAAAGGTATGACATCCCGGGACTGGAAATCAAGGCATTTGGGCGATTTACTAATAGTATTGTCTTACTTAGTATGTGCCGAATTTGATCCAGTGGTACAACGCTGGAAAGCTTCCCGTGGATAAGCTGGTCAAGTTTTATCCAGTCGAGGACTATCTCCAGGCAATTAAGGACATGGATGATGGTGTTACCGTCAAGCCCGTGCTTGTCTGGTGAGCGGATGCTGGACCAACTATGAGACTAGGGCTTACTAATAGAGCTAAGGTTCGCTTAACTGATGAAAAGAGAATTGGTGGCCTGTGGGGGTTAATGTGGAATCGCGTCTCTTCCTGTGGGCTTGGAAAGGGATAGGTTTGCCGAGCAAGGAGCATCAACACATATATAGCGACGAAGGATTTTTAATTTCAGCTCCATCTAGTCCCAATGCAAAATCCATGGGATGCAGTGACTTTGGCATTCCCTTGCTGCATATTTTCTATTGTGAGATCATGCATCCTGTCGAACTCTACAGGGATGGGGCACTATATTACATGCACCGTGTCTGCTGCGTTTACAAAACATGGCCAAATGCAGGTGCGGTCAATCAGCAGAAGCTGCACAGGAAGAATCGACTTTTATAAAATTTACATCAAATTTGAGTCAATGTAGCTGGAGACACCAGTCGACGGGTTCCACTTTCACACCGAGTTTACTAGCGCGGGCCGCGGGAGTTGTCCCGGCCCACACCGCCGATATAGTATATCCACCACAAGGGAGATCATCAAGGGCGTCTAGCTCAAATGGTAGAGCGCGCGCTTAGCATCAATATTCCTAAGGGAGTTTATCATGCGCGAGGTACACGGTTCGATCCCGTGGTCGTCCATTTTGCCGGTTGTGAAGCCATCGTGACGATGCAAGCTTACATTTTGGCCCCCGGATATGCTATACTCCGTATATACCGTGTGCGTCATTCTGAGGGCCGGATTCACCCCCCAATAGACCGGCCATGCCGTCAAGCACATGGCAGCGCATGACTTCTTGGGAGCGGTGCGACGCTAGACGGCATATGCGTGTGTTGGCGAGTGCTTGGAGTGCTTGGATATAGATCCGACTTCCCGACGAACCAATCAAAGGCCGTAGCATCAACTCCGCACCCTGGACTGCGCTTGTGAACGACCGCTTACATCTAGTAGGGAGCACCAGTTCTCTGATGAACACCGTTGTGGCGATCATTTCTGTGTCATGTGTTTGTGCGTGGAGCTTGGGCGCATTCTTCTCATCTGTTCCCGTACTAAATGTACTACTAACACAATAAGTTCCTGGGCGGGTGGCCTACCAGCGTAGGCACCGACGAGAGTTGCAAAAATGGCCGACATGCTGGACATGTAACAATTTCTCTCTGCATCACAATAAAAGCATACGGGCCGACCACCATCTAATCAACCAGTCTATCACACCTTATCTTTTGACGAGCAACAATACCACTCAAACTATGGAGGGCCGAATCCAGGAAGACCCGCCAGCCTTCTCGGCCTCATCACAAACACTGTCATCAACAGACAGTCAATCAGAAAACCCATCGACGAACGATCAAAACACCTCAGGGGCCGAGTCCCCACCCGAGCCGGTGGCCAACCTATGCAATGGCCCCTCCGCTGGCTGCTTCATTGAGAAGCCTCACTGTCACCTCAGGTGCCCTCCCCGAGCCTGCAAGCAGTGTCGCGAGGTGTTGGATCCGAACTGGATGAACAAGGGGGGCTGGCTTGAGCACTGCATAAGCTTGCCAGAAGGGGGTGAAGAACGGTCCGGCGGCGAGGACATTCCTACGCGAACGGGATTCAAGAAGGCCCTCACCATAGGTGCTTTTGCGGTATCTGTGGCCGGGGTCCTCTACTGCGCGTGGCAAGCCCGCGCCAGCTCGGGGTCGTCATGAGTGGGCCGCCACGTGGGCCCAGCTCTAAGCTAGAGGTTGGGAAATGCTTCCTAGGGAGCCTAATATCCTAAACAAGGGGGGTGGGGCCGGTGAGAGAGTCGAGACGGATGTTGCGGGAAATTTTGAATGGGCATCTGCATTTGGGAAATGTTTTGCATCAGGGTATACCCTAGGAATCGCTCATTGTTTCTCTCTTTCACGGCCTACCGTCGTTTGAAGCCATTCGCATCACAACTCGACCGTGTTGAGGTATGATATCCACCACGACTCGGAACGAGGCACATAGAGAGCTCGCCTCAGAAGACAAATTCGGCCAGGAGATTTCGGCCTGAAGTTCACAATTGAAATTCTTGAGAATAGATATTTCTTTGTTGAGATCAGCCGCAGGAGAATGACAGTCTTGAAACTTTGCGAAGACAAAAAAATCTTCGACTGAAACATGAGTTGCAGAATCCTATTGTTCTCGACGAAATGCCCCTTCTTTTTGGTTTTCTGGGTAACAAACAGGCACTGTCTCTGCTTTCCGAACGCAAGTATATAACCCATGACTTTTGAGACCGGCTCGTAGCAATGTTTTAACAGGAACCCATCGACATCGGACACACGACATATCAAGCAAGATCCAAACACATTGAAAGCATATCAAGCCACAAAATGCACCCATCCCCCAGAATCGAGCCTCAACCCGCTGCCATCGCAGGGGACCCGGATTTCAGATCGCTGAACTTGACTAGGGTATCTCATCAGCCAAAAGACATCCTGGATGTGGTGAAGCAGTTCACACGTCGGATCGACAACACTCGATTGCTCTACAAAGAAGTTTTTGTAGTGATATACACAATCTGGACGACAATGGAAATGTCCGATGACCAAGGGCGATTTGATGATTTGACGGGGCATTTGAATATTGCCATGAAAACCCTGGATGGTTTCTTCTTCGGTGGATTGCTCACAGGAATCGGACCATTTTCGTACAGGGGTGGTGGTGTTACCGTCTTGAAAACTGCAAATAATATCTTTGCCAAGGGGCAAATTGGACATGAACTCTTCCTCAGAACTGGACTTGCAGCCATCAGAGGGTTGACCGCTCCCACGTTGGACGGGAAAACATTCATATACATCGACACGTCCAGGGGGGGTATCCCAAGAAGTATGAAGGACATTTTGGAAACGCTGGTGCATGAGATGGCACATGCAATTTATCTCTCGTTCTCGTGTAGATGCGCATACTGCCAATATAACTCTGGTCGCTCGGAGGTTCTCGGTCAACAGGGTCACGGCCGTTTATGGAAAGAAATGGCTGAACACATGAGGGACACGATCCAGAGCTGGGACTGTCACATGGAAGATTTCTTGGACGGCGACAAAATAGAATGGCATCATATCAACCGCTGATGGGGACATAGCGTGAGCCTAGAAGGAAAGTGTTTTTGATGCATTCAGCTCAAGGAAGTTGTGAGCATGAGTGCAAGATATGCTACTGTAATACATTTCCACTGAGGATGATTCGTATTGAGAAAAGTTTTGTCCTCATTTAGCAGGTGTAGAAATATCGTTGATGTCACCAGGTCCTAGCGTCAAGGTTCTACAGCCTATGAGTCTTGCAACTACCTCTGAACCCAGATTTTCCAGTTGAAGAAGGCATCTTGTCTTCGCAATCTAACAAAAATGTTCTGGGCGTGTTCAAAACTCCCCCGTCATCTCCGACCAATTCCTCAACACACCATGCTGTACTCACAAGCCCTGACCGGAGGACACCGGGCCTCTCCACCCTCATCCACCTCGTACAGCACAACCAAGACTCACCCGGACACAACCAAAACCACCACAAGAACATCCACAGAGGCCCCAAAACAACACCACAAAAATCCCATCAACACCGCCAGGGCCAGGGCCATCAATCCCCCACCAATAACCCAACACCAACACCAGAACCAACACCAGCCTAGTAACAACCCAGACCACAAACCAAACCCAACCACCAGAGAAGAAGCCGTCTACGTCCTAACACTAAAAACAACACCCTCCCTAACAGACCCCCTAACAGCCCTCCTAAGGTCCCACTTCCCAAGGCACCGAGATCGCGACGCTGTTCCACGCCCTGCCCGGGTCCGAGATGCGACACATCACCGCCGCGCTGGAGGGGCTCTGCGGCTGCGCGCCACAACAACAGAAACCCCTGCGGCTGGCCACGGGGGCGGTGTTCCGCATGAGGCGTGGGGTGTGCATCGAGGTCGCCGAGGCCGTGGGAGGCAGAGAGGAGGGGAAGGGAGGAGACGGGCACGGAAGGGCAGGGGGGGGGGGATCAGGCCCCGCGGCGGCCAGGCGGCCCCACGCCGAGCTCCAGCGCCGCTGGTGGACGTTCCTGAGCGCGCAGGACCGGCGGCCGTGGCAGCCCCACTGGACGGTGCAGAACAAGGCCGCCGACGAAGCAGCCGTGGACGCGGCCATGGACGAGGTCCAGACGGCATTCCGTGGTGCCGAGGGCCTGGCGACGGGGTGTGCGCTCTGGAGGTACGACAAGGGCGGGAGGTGGGCGTTCGAGCGAGGCTTTGATTTCGATGGGGATAAGTAGGTGTGTGTGCCTTACAATGCCCACGGACAAGACATGGTGCAGGTTAAGTTGGCGGACCGGCTCCCGCCTCTTGTTTTCCCCCACTCGGAACCCTGTGACCGGTAGCCTGTAGATGTAAGACGCAAGACACGACCATCACTGCAGGACCTCAAGTCACCGTACAGAACAATTCACAGTGGACGACCTGGCATCAAGTATAACAGAAACTCTGGCTGTATTTTTAGTTTTCCCGATGACCCTTGAAAACACCGCTGTACCATTGGAGACCAACGCCTGTCCATTATGCTGAGTCTTTCACCCCGCTCATTACTGTGCCACATCTCATCTAGATGAGACAGACCAAGGAAACAAGACCAAAAGCCCATATACCCAGCCGAGCCAAACTATGAACAGCAGAAATAATAATACCAAAAAATAGGGGTAAGCGAGAGACAACCGCCAGACGACGTGTCTGTCGCCGCTGGGGGACGACGTAAACTAGTACAGAGTGATGTAGAGAGAGGTAAAAGAGAGTTGGCGACGAGGAAAGGAAACCAAGCACCCCATCCCGTGGCCTTTTTGCCCAACCAACTGTCCGCTGTGCCCGGCTCATCTGAGCCCCTCATGGTCCGCTAATGTCCTATGCTTGAGAGACATGACATGGTATCCAGGAGTAACGTTGACGATAGTGATGATTTGCAAACCCACCAAAAATATAAACCAGAACCCAAACCCCAAATAACAATGGACAAGAAAATCGATACTGGCCCGGTCCAGTCCAGTAAAAATGTGCTTTTAGACAATGCGCCTTCCCTTGTAACTCTTGTTGATGATTACTTGCGCAATGAAATCGGTCGCTTCTTGTGTCTCACGCCGCTTCAAAAAGTGAACGAGTATGCCGTCGAGAGGGGCAAGGTGAGGCGAGGCGGAGGCTGCCGGAGCATCACTCCTTTTTCTTCGTCCGGAACTTGACCTACATGTCCCTTGCTGTCTAAGCCGGAACTTTGTCTTGCAGGCCCGTCTCACCGAACTTGTGGAGAAGGTCTCGCAACGGCTGAGGTGTCTCGGCGTCGGCTGGCCCGTCGTTGGTGGCCTGGGAGGAGCTGGTCCGCGGGCTGTTACCGCCCGTGGTGAGCGCCGGGGTAGGCATCGCCGAGTTCATGTCGGACTGGGAGCTTGGTCGCGATGCCGTCACTCCATTCAGCTCACCGTTCGCGCTGCTGACACTACCCTGCCTCGAAGCGGTGGCTCGAAACTGGCTCATGAGATTTTCAAAGGCCGCCCACTTCTCATCCGGGCGGCTGGGCTTCTTCCTGGCAAGGTAGTAGGGTCGGCTTTCCCTTATGAGTGTCTCCTGCTCGACACCGTTGAGGTGGAAGCAAAGTTTTTCTGTCTT